CAGTCACTGACCACAGAGAGCCCAACCAATCACAAGCCATAGAAGTGATCAAAACACGAGTGGTTGACAACCAGGTGAAGCCAGTCGTGAAAAGGGTGACTAAAGTACCCAATTATCTGCCAAAAGAGCTCCGAATGAGTGATGGGAGTGATAGGAGTGACCCATTTCTGGTGCTAAGACCGGGTGACGCCTGCGTTCAGTCGGGAATAACAGTGCAGTTCTGTTGTCGGGGCCGGGGATCCAAACCCCTACTGTTTTCGTGGTTCAAAAACGACACGATTTTGAAATCAGACGAAAATTTTCACATTTTTCAGAGCGGAGAAGAGCTTAATATCCTCGAGATAGTCAACACCGGCGCCCAATACACCGACCAATACTCCTGTGTTGTCTACAATCGGTTTGGCTATCAGTGGTGTGACTTCACTCTTGAAGTGAAAAACACCAGCTTTTTGTCCAATAATAAAATGCCGATTAAGAAGACAAACGTCAGACGAGACGACACGGACGCCAAGCTTGAGGTAAGACTTGCATCGGTTTTGACTGCATTTCAATTGATTCACAAATTCTCGCTAATATTAACAAACCTAACGGCTCTGGTATTGAATATTTGCATGAATTAAAGGCTTCAAAGGTGTCTGAGTGTGAAGTCTCTCCTAAAATAACTACTAATCCAAAGCATGACAAACACAAAACTCGTCCGTTTGTTATCCAACGGACTTGGGCTGAAAGAGTCGCTGAACTTAACTCGAAAGCACAGGTAGACTACTCTAACCTATTGCACGTGACATCATTTGACACTTTTTTAACTGAAAATCTCGATTTCAGAGCAATCAAAATGAGACAAATGTTGAGACGAACGGCCATAACAGTGATCCCGAAGAGGAGACAAACACATCGGTGCCAACAGTCATGTCGTGTACTATCGCTGAAAGAGAGCACAAGAAGTGGGAAAACCCTGATATAGACCTCAAAGATAATCCGTATTCTGCAGAGAAACTGAACTCAAGAATACAACAAAAAGTTTTCAATTTAGACTACGAGTCACCCATTGATAAGACCGATGATAATGAGGACAAAGACGTGGATTCCTCTTTCCTTTCGTCCCATTCTAAAGAGTTAAGTCGTTATCAAAGAGACTATTATGTGAGACAACAGCCCCTCAGTAAAGAGGAAACTCTTCGATCATTTGATGAAAACGTAAGAATATTTTCATTATACTTGAACGCAGTTTTCAATATTCTGTAAACTTATTCCCAAAGGAATATTCAAACTCCAAATATTTTGGTGTCAATCAAATGCAACGAAAATCATCGGAAGATATGTCACAAATGTCTGAGACATCAAACGGCAAGAACTCAAATGAGACGGAAAGCGAACTCTTTGTCTCGGATTCCGATTCAATGCTGCCTTCAGTTAAAGATCTCGTCAATCGATTCTCTTTCAATGAACAACAAACCGATAAAATACCCAAATTAGTAGACATTAAGAGGAAAAATAGTTTCTCAGATTCAAAGTTTATAAATCACCCAAAAAATGGTTTACAAACGAATAACTTTAAGGTAATTATTAATCATTCATTTGTTGTTGTTATTACTGAATATTAAAATTGTTTAATTTAAAATATTTTATACAAAATGAATATTTTAAAACAAAAGCTCCCAGTGCTTTGCATACTGTATCTGTTCAAATGCGTTTGTCTAATACATTTATTACAAACTGATCTCAAAATTTCTCGACTCCCACGCTAGGTTTCGATATGTGTAAAATACTGAAATTTATTCAATACCCTTTGTTCAAAGAGTTATTAAAAATAAATAATTACATAATTAGTGGGAAAATCATGTATCGTTTGTTTCATCAAATCAAATAATTTCACAAATGAGTGAATCTTTTGGTCAAATATTTCTATAAGGAGTATATAATAAAATGCATTTTTATGCCAAATAATAGCAAAAACGTTATTTTAATTAAGTTTCTGAAAGCAATTATCCGTTTATATCATAACACGAAAACAATTAGGCTTTTGTTGAATTAATGAGCACTGAATTACTTTATCATGTTTTACATCAGTTTAGAATAAATTAATTATTTGCATAATAATTATATATACCGTAATTTGAATGCTTAAAGCTCATGTGGTGTGCAATAATTAGTTGACTTGAAAGTACAGGTATTTCATTATTATAAGGACTAAATTTTAATTGTTTTTAAAACGGTTTAACACTAAACGGCTCACTCATTATCAGGTCCATAGTCTGACTGCGAGGAGTCTGACCAAAGAGTTTCGTCAGATGTCTCAACTAAACCTTCCCAGAACTCAACGAAAC